ACCAAGTGACTTTTTTTTTTAGTATATTAAGTTGTTGTTTCAGTCTGTTTTGTATCTTGTTTATGATATATTCATTTTGTTGTATTAATAAAACGGTCAAAAATTTAAAGTAAAAACTTGTGTTTAAGAGAAAGGCCACTAGGAAACTGGTGCTTTGAACACAAAGTACTGTATTCGCTTCTGCTCTCCTGGATTAATATAGTTAAGTCATATCATTATGCTCTCACAGGAATTTTTACTTTTATTCATAAACCTACATCTTAGTTTTCTTAACTGCATCAAGTGCCTTCTTTTAGCATTGTATGGCATATTGCAGCAGAATGAAGGTAGGTAGAAAGCAGCATAGGAATCCCAACCCTACTCCTCAGAGATAGAGATTGAATGATTCACACATTATTATCTTGGTGAGAAATCCAGAACTAGTTAAGAGGCTCTTTTGCCCTAGGCAAGTGATGGTGAACCTTTTAGAGTTTTCTTTTTTTTTTTTTTTTTTTTTTTTCCTTTTAGAGTTTTCAATGATACGAACAGCCAGATGTGGCACATGTACCATAGGTTTGCCACTACTGCCCTAAGCAGTCATTGAACAAGGTTCTTCAAAGCTGGTAGGAAAACTCATGCCAGTTCCACACTATAGACCATCCTCAGCTGAGCATGTTACGAGCAGGAGGAAACTTCTGGCTCCTAACTTCTCCAGGCTCAAACACATATATACGTAACTTGCAGGTTTTTCAGGAGTCTGCCCTCAGAACTGGTTTGTGTTGTACCTGAAAATAAGCACTATCAGACAGGGTTGCAAGGTTGGAGGTACTGAAAACAAGTGAAAGGATGCTGTTATTGTGGGATGATGTGATTCATGTATACTTGTTTAATGATTGGTTATCACGGAGTTTAACCTAGTACTCATACACCATTGCTCTCCCCACTCGCTCAGCCTGGAATAAGCGGGAAAAACTGCCAGTTTGTAGCTGTACCCTGGAGGAGGAAATTGGAGTTAGAGTATGTGGAATATTTTAACTTTATAGCAGGCTGCTCAAGGGGCTGGTTATCATCTTCACTGCTTTGGAGTACTGACAGAAGTTGGCCTAGCATCTACTATTTCAGTTTTTCAATGGGCTTTCTGAGAGACTGGTTCCTGTCTTAAAGAGTACTGATGGGAACCACCGTAGTCTAGATTCCTGGTAGTTGCTGAGAGTAAAGGAGAGCTGCATCACTTGCTGCTGCTCTAGAGGGCCTGTGTTGAGTAGACAATAGTTAATGCAGTTTGATTTCTCTCTCTAGGTGTGCAAGGGGGAGATGCAAGGGGGAGCGAATAAAATAATTCTAGCTCTTTGAAGAGCTTCCCAAAGGGTTGGTCTCTGTCTTGCCTGTCTTGGAGTACAGCAAATCATGGACATACTCTAGAAAGGGGCCCCTGAGAACAGGAGAGTAGTGGGTAGCTTGCAGCAGCTTCAGATAACCTGAAGTACTATAGATAAATACCTGAAGGAACAAGACTGTAAAATCTGTTAGAAGGGAAACCTATGAAACTTTCTAAAAATCTATATACAGAAAAAGGACGATTTACACAAGAGGTTCAACAGGTACCTGAAGTCCAGGATGAGTGATCTTTCCCTCTGCAGATCTATATAGATCTTGCCCAGTCTGTAAAGCCTGGGAGAAGTGGCAGTTTTTACAAAAACTATATTTAAATCCAAACATAAAACTGAAGGGCATACAAGGAAACCACACAAAGGAACAAAATATTCAGAAAACATCCCAAAGTAATGCTTACATGAATTGCTTCACAAAGAATTCAGAGAAAACATCATAAGGATGCTCAGTGATCTCAGAAAAATTGTGCATGAACAAAATGATATCAGCAAAGACAAAAATAAAAAGAACCCGTTAAATTTTGGAGCTGAGGAATGCAATAATTAAATTGCATTTCAGTAATAAATTGCATTGCTATTTCAATAATAAATTGTGTTACTATTTTGTTAGTAAATTGCATTACTGTTGCATTTCAATAGTAAATTAAAAGATTTACTAAATGGATTTAACATCAAGTTTCTTTAATAAAAGAAGAACTCAGTGAACTCAAAGGCAGATAATTTCAAATTATCTATTCAGAGAGACAATAATGAATAAAAATGTAAAGGCAGCCTAGGATACTAACAGGACAACATTGAGTTGACTGGCATACATATTATGGAAGTTTCAGAAAGAGAAAGGGGCAGTTTATTTGAAGAAATACTGTATGGCCATACTCTGAATCAGGAGAAAGAAATAGGAATGCAGATACAAGAAACTCAGTAGACAAGAGTAGGAAAAACCCAGAGATACCTACAATGAGAAACAGTAATCAAATCGGCAAAAGTCAAAAATAAAAAATTTTGAGAGCCATAAGAAAAGAGCCATTCATTACATACAAAGAAGCTTCTGTAAGTAGATTTTTAAGCAGAAATCTTACAGGCTAAGAAAGGAGTGTGATTCCAAGTATTGAGAGAAGTAAAAAAAACTTTCAGTAAAATGTTATACCTGGTGAAAACTGTTCCTCATAAATGAAACAGCAGTACTTTCCTAGAAAAACAAAAAAAAGTTAAAAGACTGTCATAGATCTGTTTTATATTAAGTGGTGAAGAGAGGTTAAAACTAAAGGACATTGTAAAGTGACACATAAGTACGTGAAAGTGTAAGGTTCACTGATACAATTAAGTGTAGAGACAGAATAGTATATAAATCACTTGTGATGTTTGTCAAAGACAAAAACAAGTACTGGTAACTGTAAAAATATGTTAATGTATATACAGTTTAATGAAAAAGATCACCTGTGGCATCAAAAAGTATAGGGAATGGTAAGAAAAAGAGATTTGTAGGTAGTTGAAGTTATTAGCTTACAATAGATTGCTGTAACTGAGGTATTTTAACCGCAGAGTAAACACAGAGATCTGTTAACCATTGGGAGATGGGATGTAGGCAAATGGATATGTATGTGACAAGATGCTTAACATCCTTAGTCACAGGAAAGTGCAAATCACATTACAAAGAGATGCTGCTTCACACTCACAAGCATGACTGTAATCAAAACCACAGACCACAACAGTGTTGAGGGTGGGGAAATTGGAACACTGGTACTGGGAATGAGTGGAATCCCTTCGGAAATGAGCTTGGCAGTTCCTCCAAAAACTAGAGTAACCATGTGACCCAGCAGTTACACTGTTTGTTGTGTATAAAGAGGATTACAGATACATCTTTACACAAAACCTTGTTGTATAAGCTTATATATTGTTTACTAATACTGCAAATGTTTATTGGCACCTTGAACATTGCTTCCTGGCTCCAGTGCAGATCCTTCAGCATGCTCACACAGATCCTTCACCCTGCTGGTGCAGACTTCAGCTTCTACCTCTGACCTTTGGATCTTTCCAGTGCAGATCCTTGATACAGACTTGTATGAGACATTGTTGTGAGCTTCAGGCTTTCAGTTGGACTCATGAGGGACATTGCTATGGGCTCTAGGTCTTCATCTGGACACATGCAGGATATTGCTGTGGGATCCCGGCCCTTAGCTGGATTGTTTGGGTCTCCAGTGTATGGACAAATCTCTTGTACTCTTTTGCATTTGACTCTTTAGGTGAATATTATACAATAATCTTATAAATTATGTGTCCTATATTAAATCTTTTCTCATAAACCCTGACTATAGCGGGGCAAGATGTTTAGTGTATGCTATTGGAACATACTGGGAGTTTGCACTCTGGAATGTTGTATGGTGGAATTCCTTGCAAAGTCCACCTGAAAGGGTGCTTGGGGAAGCTGCTTATGAGGGGGTAACCTTGCTGGTGCATTCTGCTGTGCTGCTGCTGGGTGCTTGAGAATCTTTTCCCTCTAGAATGTGAAATGATAAAGAAGCAATTGCTGCAGGAGCCTGGCTGGAGTAGTATACTGAAATTAGGAAGAAATAAAACCCTTTCCTCTGCGTTATACCTCAAGCTGCTCCTACTAACATGGCTTAATGTCATGCCGGCTCATTTTAAAAGGCTCAGCTTCAGTTTTGGAGAGCAAGCAGTAAGGGTTAGATTTGCTACTGGGAGCTTGACAGCTGACCAGAGTATTGTAGGTCAGACTCTGTACCATTTTAGGGTATATTCTGCTTTGTTAAGTGGAACGTATTCATTTGCACAATAGCTAACTAACTTTAATGTTTTCATGGCATATTTTTAGAGAACTTTGTTTTAAATTACTGCAAAAAGGAGTTGATAATTGAAATACATTGAACAGTAAATGAAAGGCAAAAATTCCCCCTCTTACTCCCTGTTCCCTTAGCATCTATCTCTAGGAGTTAAAAGTGTTAACTAAAAATGTATGGCATATAGTGTATTGTTCTGTATACTTGTTTGTGCATTTATGTTTTTTAGTGATGGTGGTTTTATATGTTGATACCTCATATGATCTGCTTTTAGGTTTTGCTTCTAGAAGGAACTGTATCTGTGTAGTCCAAGAACGTTGTACTCAAGTTAGTTTCTCGAAGTAGTGTTTAATTGCCAGATACTGGTGTAAACCAGGTGTTCTTTTAGATTTTCTTTTTCTTTTTTCCCCAGTATGTATTTTTGTTACCATATATCAGTTATAAAATGGTTAAATTTCATATTCTCTATGGTTTTCTAAACTTATGAAATGAAGGGACCTGTATTTGAAGGTGGGTTGAAGATATAGATACAACTGTGAACAACCCTTAAATATCAGTTAATATTTTGCGGTATGGCCTACATTGTCCTATTTTTTTTTTTTTTTTGGGGTTTTCTCTGGTACCGGGAACCGAACTCACGACCTTGCTCTTGCCAGGCAGGCGCTTTGCCGCTGAGCTAAATCCCCAGCCCCTGTCCTATTTTTTTGATGTTTAGCAATTTAAGTCTTTCTTACTTGTATTAAACAGTTTTACATATTTATGCATATATTGCTATCAATGTATACTATATAAATTTATGTGATATTTACATAGTGTATTTTTTTCCTTTCAGAAAAACCCTGCAGAAATGTCTCTCTATCCATCTCTTGAAGATTTGAAGGTAGACAAAGTAATTCAGGTATGTTTAAATAATTTTTTAAAAATATACTATGACATACATTCATTCTACTTTGTGAATTAAAGCAAAAATTTGCAGTTCATAAGCCTTTTGTTCTGTTGTAGACTGAAAAGGAAAACTAGTAATTCTTTTTCATTTTATTGTGAATTAATACATGAGATATTTAAAAATTCACTTACACGCTTCAGAGCTTTTTTCTGATTAAAACTGAAATTACATATAACGTATTTAAGTTGATAAAATAAACTGCAATCTTTTAGATACTTGTGGTTTTGAGTAAAATTGGTACATTTTTCTCTTTAATATTTAGACATGATTAGTCTTTATAGGAAAGTTAAAAAGTACAGGAATAATGAGTAACGGACTACATACTATTAGAGGAGGAGTAGCATAAAAACACAAGGCGAGTATAGTGGTTTCTTGTAGAGGTAAGCAGCAGATATTTCACTTGTTCACGCTTTCAGTCATTGCCATTTTTGAAATTTATAGTAATGTTTTTAAATGGAGACAACCTGTATGTTATGAACCCATCTGTTTACAGTTTGCTTTCCACTTGATAATTGTGAACTCATAATCTCTTCAGTTGTTTCATTCAACATCTGTACTGCTTCACTCTACAAATAATTTTTTGAAGTGTTTACTCAGAACTCCTTATCCTAAAAATCATTTTGCATGAAGCCCTGACTTCAGTGTACTCTAAAGTAAGATTTATTTCTTTGAATACTTGATTAATGAGAAAGTTTATTATGAAGAATGTGTTTTCAGCAAAAGATTGGCCTTTCTAGAGTAAAAGAAAAAAAGACTAATACTAAGATACATGTAGTTGAGATTACTACTTTCAGTGGATGGGTAAATTGGTGTATGGAGGGAATCACATGCAGCATTTTCCATCTTAAATCCAGGGTGGGTATGAAAATGTGGTTTATAAAATCTGATATCTGTAGTTCAGCTGCTAAGGCTTTGATACTTTGAAGTTTTAAGTGACTTGTTCACTTGTCTTAAATGTTCTGTCACTATCTTTCTTTTGTATTCTATCAGTGTATTCTTTAGGTGGTTTTTATTTCCACAAACTCTGCCTGAACAAGTACTCTTTCTTTGTAAAAGAGCTCTTATCTGAAGTATTTACCTTTGCAGTGTAAGCATTAAGCCATTAATGACATCAGTACATTGTCTGATGAGGAGCTGCAGACTGATTTGAAAGAATGACTAATACATTCTTTGTTTTCACCTTTTTTTGTAGTTTTTTATGGAATTGAGTTTAAATTAACCATAGTTGGCTTTGAGTGGAGGCTTTTGATTTTTGAGAACAGAAAAAATTATTGATGGTGACAAATGTTGAACTGAAAAATAAAGGACTACAATGTACATAAGACTGAACTCTTTCAGCAGAAGCAAATTACATGGATATCATTCAGTAGAGGATCTTTTATGTTTAGAGCAGAAAGCTAGCTGCTAGAAAATAGAACAAAAACAAGAGGGAAACATGATGTGTTTATTCACACTATCTTTAAAAGTATTCTTGATCTAGCCAAGTATAGTGTTGGTCTGTATCTTTTTTTGACTTCATTCTGCAAGATGGATGATAGTTATATTTGGTCTTTGTTTTTTGAGATGTCTCTGAAAAGGCATTAGAGAGGAATGTAGTATTCATCTTTCTTAGCTACTGGCCTTTTACACGACCACAGCAAAGCTAAATTGCAGCAGTGAACTGGCAGTTCATATTTTGTAAACTATTCAACAGTAGCCATTAGGCCGTGGCTTTCAGCATCATGTATAATTGTGAACCTCTCTATTTCAAGTCTAACAGGAGCCTGTGGTTCCTCTCCTTACAAAAACCTTTTAAGAAAAAATGATAGTCTAATGAACCTGTGAGGCAGGAGACCAAATGACAGGCTTTTGTGAAAGCAGGTAGGCAGAGTGACGAAGCTACCTGCCCCAACAAGGAGAAATGTGCCCCTTTTATAAGGATGTAAAGAGGACAGGGGGAAGGTTTAACAAACTTGAGGTTAAAGCTTTCTGGCAGCCTTGTATCCCAGTGAGTAAAGTCCTCCTCCAGGTCCCACAAAATTGCTTGTCCTGTCATATCTCCTTTCCTGTGTTTGCGAATGGCAGCCTGCAGAGAGTAATGTTTCTGCTGGAAAGTAGGCTGGGGCTGGGAGAGTCAAGCCAGGTTAAAGACTTACAGGTGGGACCTAGTGCTCCAGACGTAACAGAAGTGGCTCCCCAAACATGGCTTCCCCAGGTGCTTTCTATAAGTGATACAAACAGGTTTTGGCAGTAATTTCCTGTTCCCTGAGGCACCCTCTCCCCACCTTTTAAATGGTTTTCCATTTCAAAGTAAGCTGGAAATAATGTGCTACATTTAATGGTTTACAGTCCTTAAACCCTTGTTACATCTTTTGTCTTGTTTTTACTTCAGATACATGATTAAGTTTATGTACCTTTGTGGAGAGCTTTCTATATATATTCTTAAGTATTCTTTGGATAAGTAATAGTAAAAGAATAAAGAACAGTATAAAGTAGCATTTTTTACATTAATAGGACACATTTTAGAGCAGTTACAGTTCCCAATAAAGTTGAGCAGGAAGCACATTATCCTTCCATCCCCTCAATTAAGTGTAAGCCTCTTCACTGTGAATGTCTGTACCAGAGTGGTACATTTGTTAATAGTTGATGAATCTACAATGACTTGCCATTATCATCCAGAGTCCACAGTGTACAATAGGGTTCAGTGTGCGCTGTATGTTCTGTAGGCTTGGACAGAAGTGTAATGACATGTATATATGATCATTTTATGCAGAACAGTTTCACTGCTCTAAAAATCTCTATGCAGAATAGTTTCACTGCCCTAAAAATACCTGTTCCGGCCTAGGGATGTAGTTCAGTTGGTAGAGCTCTCATCTGGGCCCTAGGTTCTGTTCCCAGCACTGTAAAAAACAAGTACAGTGCAACTCTCCATTAAGCATGTTTATCCCTCTTTGCCCTTCCACTAAATGTAGTGTTGCCGTTTGCAGAGTGTCCTATAGTTGGAATCAGAGCATATGTAGCCTTTTCATGTTGGCTTCTTACACTTGGTAATAATGCAGTTAAGTTCTGTCATGTCTTTTTGGTTTTGTTTTTTAGCGTAAGACAGGGTCTCACTCCGTGGTTCAGGCTTACCTTATCTCATGATCTTCCTGCTTCAGCCTTGCAAGTGCTGGGATTGCAGGTGTGCGCAGTGGCGCCTTCATGTCTTCACATGAGTTGACAGTTTATTTCTTTTTAGACTGAACAGGTGTTTTTTTTCCTTAGAACTAATTCAAGAAAATTAAAAATCCAACTGGCTACTAGCTCTTCTTTCTAGTTGAGAGCTGATAAAAGAACTTTCAGTTACACTTCAGGTTTGTAGATTGTTATCTACAATTGAGGATTTTCATGATGCGTTTGGAGAATACTTAACAACTTATAACACATTAAAGGTGACTCAATAACAAGTACAGTATAGCAGAACATTTACAATCCAGATGAGTTTAATACCATTTAAAGTTTTGTAGGCTGTAATGATTTAAGCTCCCATCTCTTTTCAAAACTATTCTTGGTATTGATTTCAGAGCAAGATTGAGATACAAGTGTAAACTTTCTTAATTTGATATTTTTAAATATTGATAATTAGGGATTGATTATTAAACTTGTTACAAAATTTGTCTTGAAAATTACATGGCTATTTGAGAAAGTTGTATCTGTAAAGAACAGAATATTTCCATCAGTGGGATACTTAATATGACATAGGCCAAGAAACCCTGCAAGAGGGACGAACCACCTGACCATGGGTAGCACTGTCACATGTTTACTTGTTACAGTAATTTTGACACATTTAGTAGTTACAAAGTATATTATCATCCTTTCATGTCGCTGATGAGTGTGCTTTTGGCATAGTTTATAATTAACTCCTCATACTTGGTAAAGATTATTTTATTGAGATGTGCTAAAATGGTAAATCAATTTAAGTATGAGCCTTAAAGTTTTTTGCTTACATGTAGCTTTTTATATGAATATGGTTGAGCTTTTTTCCTTACATAAATGTTTTTATTTGGACTAATTACTAAAAAAAAATGAAAATATAAAATGTGTTACCATTCAATTTAGAATGCTCTTTAAGAATACTTACTAATTTGGAGCAGTTCCATTAAGTGCTGTTATAAAATATTGTAGAAAGGTGCTTATTCAATTGTATGATAGTCTTAAAATTATTTGGAATATGAAACATATCTCTCAGTATGCAGAGTTCCTTTGAAAAACGGATGCTAAAGTGTTTGAAATAAATCTTTCTTGGGTAATATATCAGGTTTGTATCTTTTCAGAAGTACTGGAGTTAACTTCCAAATTACATAAGGGTACTAAGTATTTATACCATATTAGAATTTTATTTTCTCTTTTAGGCTCAAACTGCCTTTTCTGCAAACCCTGCCAACCCAGCAATTTTGTCAGAAGCTTCTGCCCCCATCTTACAAGATGGAAGTAAGTTTATACTTCGGATTTATTCTTGTAGAACAGAAATATTTATGATGTCATCTATTGCTGTAACAGGAAATCCAAGATGCTTTTTTTTTATTTTGTTTTTGGAGATAGTGAAATAAAATGATGGCTAATGGTCTAGTAGCACTAGAGAAACAATGATTTTTTCAAAAATAATCCTTTAATCGAGAAAGTAAACTATGAATATAATCTGTTCTATGGTCAGTGAAAATTGACTTGAGCCTTTTAAATCCCACAGCACAAGACTGGGTTCATCCATGCACAGCCTGACATAGGAACCAGGTTCCCACACTGCTGACCTGAGCTTCCTTTGCAGACTTGTCTCTTCCAGGGGAGCTTCTGAAATTCCTAACCACATTTTAGGGGACTTCACAAGTCCAGGAGTCTTTTTGGTCTCTGTACCTTGTCTTTGGTCCCTTCAAAGTTCAGAGGGCTTCTAACCAGAGCCTCAAAATAACAGGATTTTTAAAGATGCAAAGTTAATGTTAAATTTGTTTTTATGGCTTGTCACTTTGTTTTATAATGTTATTTCTTTTAGAAAATATTGTAAGTGACAAACAGATGGAAAAAATGGATCTATTAGAAGTAGTACATAACTACTTAACAAATTAAATAGATACTGTTAATCTCTGAAAAGAATGTTTCTGGGATTTCGTTTGAATATGGCTAACTTTCTTTCTTCGAAAGGTAGAGGCAGGTACTGAGAATTGAAGTTGTAGTTCTCTGAGATACATCCCCAGCCCTTCTTACTTTTTATTTTGAGACTGAGTCTTCCTGAATTGCCCAGGCTGGCCTCAAACTTGTCATCAGCCTGCTGAATAGCTGAGATTACAGGCATGTGCCACCATGCCTGGCTAGGTTAATATTCTTAAAATGAAACAGAAAAGGCAAGATACCTTTTTTTGAAAAATTATTTCTACTTTTGAGTAGTTGGCCCTCTGTGTCTACGGGTTCCATGGATTCAACCAGCTACAGAATGAAAATAGAATAAAAAATTGTGCCTGTATTGAACAGGTACAGAGTTTTTTCCTTGTCCTTACTCCCTAAAGAGCAATCATTTACATAATATTTGCATTATATTAAGTATAATAAGTGGCCCGACAGTGATTTAAAGTGCACAAAGGTTATATAAGGATACTGTGCCATTTTATATAAGGAACCTAAACATCTACAGATTTGGGGATCAGTGGTGGATCCTGAGTCCCACTACAGGGATTCCAAGGGATTATTGTTTTAGAAATCCGAGATTGTTTCAGTTCAGATTGGTCATAGTTTATGATTTTAACATTAAACATCTTCTGTATTTTTCATTTTGATTGTTAAGTAGATGAGGAGGTGCTCATCCAAATTTCTGTTTTAATTATCCTACTTTTAAAAGCTTAAATATGATTTAAAAGAGAAGCCATAGTAAAAATGCTCATTTTGAGTATTTTGCCGTTGCCTTTTTCTTCATTCATTTGTTCATTCATTCATTCATTTTAGATCTCTATCCCAGACTGTATCCAGAGCTTTCTCAATACATGGGGTTGAGTTTAAATGAAGAGGAAGTACGTGCCATGGTCCCTGGACCACCAGTTCAGGGGGTATGTATAGTGTAATTAATTTTGAATTAAATAAAGCCGCATTTCACACTTTCTTATAAGCTCTCTTCTTTGCAGCCTGAGTCACAGCCTATACCTTTAGATGTAACCTCTCCTGTCAGATTTTAGACTTATTTTGGATATTATTTCTACATGAAAATCTTGAGGTGCAACCAGCCTCATATACAAACAACAGTGCATATTACTTGTTACCTACTTCTGAGTTGTTACCAGTCTTTGAATTTATTAGAAGTTGAAGATTCAAAAGCATTCTTCTGGTCCATTCTGTTCTCTTTGGTCTTCATTTATTCAGTTGCAAAGACCTAGTGATTCCATTTGTATCATTTTTCTGTGTTCATTCCAGTCATACTGTAGCTGTACTGAGTTTCTCTACTTCTAACATAGATTTTAAAAGTAATCAAGTAATCTTTTGTATTTTCTATAATTTCTTGTTTCAAACTGCATTAAACTGTTTCTAGATTAATCATCATGAATACAGATCTATCATATAATTTCTTTGCTCATCTACTAACGCTCCCTCTGAAATCCAGAGCTGCTTGTAATCAGACTCTATATATTCTAGACTTAAATAAAGCATACCTGATAACCTTTTATCAAAGTCTTTGCTATTAGACCACAGCACTTTATGGCCCTTGATTATAATTGAAATTAAGTACTTCATTACAGAATCCATGTTCACCTTCTTGCTATAACCCCCTGTGCTTAATGTAGTACCTAGCCTTTATTTCTATCTATCAAATACTTATTGAAAACTTGATTGTATCAGTAAAGGTCCATGTAGGAAAACATCATAGTAGTTCAACAGAGATAATTTGGGAAGTTAGGTAAAGAGGATGAAGAGTTGAGAAAACAAAATGGAAGGCAAGTATAATTGCAGGAAGTTAGTTACTTCTCCTGGGACAGGCAGGAGGTATAGTGAGAACCTGGATGCTGCGACCCAAAGTCCCACAGAGCAGGGCTTGGAGGAGGGGACGCTGCTGGAAGTACCAGACCTTCTGAGGGGTTATAACGAGGCTGGTTCTGAGAGTGGCAGGAAAAGCTGGAGACCAGAGACTCCTGCTGCTGCTGCTGCCTGGGTTCAGGGCGAGGCTCTGGCATGCTGACAGGAACGGGAAGGAACAGGGGCTTGTCTGTCCTGCGCTGGAAGCCAGCCAGAACAGCCAGCGAAGGAAAATGTAGCTTGAACAGTTCTAGCCCCAGCATCACCAGGTAGAAAGTGGAAGAGTGGATTTGGAGCTGACACAATAGCTTGTTGCCTGGTACCACCAAACTCCTTTCATTAGCCATGTAATTCTATGAATGTTTTAACTTCATGTGACAGCAGTAATAATAACTTATACTTTCCCCTTAATAAAAGATGCATTCCCTTTCATAAAAATCAAGATGTAGCAAACGTTTTTATAAAGTACTCTGTCACATTTATTTGAGGCATGAATGGTAGTTTATTTTCTCTATTTTACAGACATCTTGTTTGTAGCCTTTAACATAAAAATCCTTCAAGCTCATGGGTGTACAAAATTAAGTAAGCCAGTTACCCCTTATATAAATGAAATTCTCTCACTGTTTCTGTAGAAAGGGCTAACACTAGTTATTGTGACACTCTGAGCAATGGCTATGGTATTGATTACTATGGGGTATTAATTACCCCTCTATAAGTATTCCTTTTCTCAGTTTCATATTTTTATCTTAAAGACAGAAGTATAAAGCTGCCCATTACTAATAATTCGTATGTACTGAGCAACTTCATTGAAGGTAACAATATGTGATATAACAACCATTGTTAATTCCTATCATCCTGTTTTGAAATCCTGTATCATTTTTGTTTTTGTATTGTTTTTTGTCTTCATTTTTTTTTTTTCTTTTTAAAGTAAAAAAAAAAGCCTATATAAAGGTAAAAGGAGATATGAAGGGAAAAGATTGCTGTATTTATAGAAAGTTTATCAATATAAGCAGAGAAGAAGATAGTCACAGCTATGTTAATTCTTATATTATGGTCCTGAGGTCCTAGGTAACATTTACAATTTCTTTGTTCACCATGCGTATTTTCTGTTTCCTTTGTCCTTAGTAAACAATTCAACTGGGTCCCCCTCCATACCTACTAGGTAACCTAAACATTCATTTTTGAAATATCTGCATTTCTATGGTTCTTCAAAGCTTTGATTTTTCTTTTTCTTTCCTTTTTTTATATGTGTTGGTAGAGATTTTTGTTAATTCTTTCTACTTAGTGAATTTTCATTTCACATAGTGTGTTTTTTGTTTTCTTGGTGTTCTGTCTGTCCCTCTCCTGCCTGCTCTATTGAGATATAATTGTCAAATTGAAATTGTGTTTTGTACATACACTTAATGAGTGTGTACATTTTGTAACATGGTAACATAGTGAAGCTAATGAACACATCTGTCACCTCACATGGTTACCATTTTTGGTGTATGTTGAGAACACATTAAGTCCTACTGTCAGAAAATTTTAAGCATACAGTACAGTATTAAATGGTTACCGTGCTCCACGTTAAGTACTTAACTCATTTCATAAGTGCAAGTCTGTGTACTTTAACCAACGTTTCCCTATTCAGTTCCCTCCCCTCCCCTGGTCCCTTAGAACTACTTTTCCAATTTCTCGATGAGTTTGACACTTAGATTTCATATATTGTAAGATCAGACAATGCAGTATTTGTGTTTCCGTCTAGTTTATTTCACTTAAATGTCCAGGGTTGTCCACATTGTCTAAAATAGCTGAATTTGTTTTCTTTTTTTGTGGTTGAATAATAATTCATCATGCATAATACCACATTTTCTTTATCCATTCATTTCTCAGTGGCTGTTTGTTTCCAAGTCCTGGCTGCTATGAATGCTGCAATGAATGTGGGAAGGCAGATACCATCGTCCTGTTTCCATAATGGTTATACTAATTTATAGTACCACTAAGGGTGCAAGGGTTCCCTTTCTGTATATGCTCACCAACATTTACCTTCTATTTTTTTTGATAATAGTTATTTTATCAGATAGGAGGTAGTATTTCATTTTGTGGCTTTGCTTTGCATTTTGTTGATGATGAGTGATTTTGAGTATCCTTTTCATTTACCTATAGGTTGATTGTATGTCTTCTTTAGGAAAGTGTTTAGGTCTTTCGTTGTTTTTTGTTTTTTGTTTTTTTTTTTTTTTTTGGTTTTTCTCTGGTACCGGGAACCGAACTCACGACCTTGCGCTTGCCAGGCAGGCGCTTTTGCCGCTGAGCTAAATCCCCAGCCCCCTTTCGTTGTTTTTAATTGGGTTACTTTTTTGCTATTAAGCTCCGTGCATTTCTTACATACATTGAATGTTAACCCTTTATCAAATAAATGATTTGCAAGATTTTCTCCCCTTCTCTAGTGGTTTTTTTTTCCATTTTGTGGATTGCTTCTGCTGCTGTGAAGCAGCTTTTTAGTTTGATGTACTACTTGTTTATTTTTGATGTTTTTGCCAGTGATTTTGATACCATATTCACAGAATCATTGTCAGGATCATTGTCAAGCTAGGTGCAGTTGGCATGTCCTTGTAATCTCAGGTATATGGGAGGCTGAGACAGAAGAATTACCTTGTCGTGAAATAAAATGAAAAGGGATAGGACTGTAGTTTAATGCTTGCTGCCAAGATCACAGTATTGAAAAGAAAAAAAAAAAAAACCAAAGAAAGAGCAATATCAAGGAGTTTTATTCTGTTTTCTCTTTTTTTTTGGAGGTGGGGGGAGTACCGGGAATCGAACTCAGGACCTTGTGCTTGCCAGGCAGGCATTTATGCCGCTGAGCTATATCCTAGGCCCTATTCTGTTTTCTCTTACTTGTTTTTATGATTTCCAGTCTCACACTTAAGCCTTTAATCTCTTGGAGTTAGTCTGTGTCTATGGTGTGCAGTAAATTTCAGTTTTACTCTTGCATATGGATCTCCAGTTTTCCCAATACCATGTATTGGAGAGATCATCTCTTTCCTATCATATACTCCTGGCACTTTGTCAAAGATTGATTACATGGGACCAGAAAAGAAGATCTGGTTCTTTTTCACAATTTTTATTCTCTTTTTCATGATGCCTTTTCTTTTTTTTTGTTTTTTGTTTTGTTTTTTTCTGGTACCGGGAATCGAACTCACAAGCTTGCACTTGCCAGGCAGGAACTGTGCTGCTGAGCTGAATCCTTCGTCCCTCATGATGCCTTTTAAATCCTTGAACATACTGAGCATATTTATTGTAGTTATTTTTATATCTGGGTAATTTTATGATTTTTGTCATTGTAGAGTCTCTGTTAATTTTCCTCCTGATTGTGTTATATTTTCCAGTTTGTTCATATGTCACCTGATTTTTAATTAGACCCCAGACATTGTGAGTTTTATATCTGGTACATTTACTAGGTGCCAGATTTTGTCTTATTTTCTTAAAGAGTGCTGGTACTTGTTCTGGCAGGAAGTTCAGTTATATGGAGATCACCTCTGTACCCTGGGGCCTGTTGTATACTTTGTCAGGGTATGTCTGTAAGATTAGGGTATCGGGAAGCCCTGCAGTGGACCCCAATCTCCTGCGAGGTGTTATGGCACGTGGCAGAAAGAAAGAGCAAGAGACAGAATGGCAGTGCAAGGGGGGTCTGGGATGACCACTTGTTCACAGGAAACAAAAGGCCATGAGGCAGCCATATTTACATTTACATTGAGGAAAATGGTGAGAGAACTATTGGATGATGGTGGTCCTATGTTGATGAGGATCACTTCGGATGACTCAGAGAGCTGTGGTGGATCTTATGCTAATAACGAACTTACGTTGATGAGGATGATGGGGAGAGATGGCAGATTAATGTTTGTCCTTCACCCCAGGAGAAACCTTATTTTTATTACTACTCTCCTCAAGGAGCCAGGGTGTCTTCAGCTGATGTAATCTTGCCCTGGGGCATCACAGGCTGGCAAGGTATTAGGCCTCTGACAAGCCCTAATCACAATTTAACTATGAAATGATTGTTCCCCAAAATTACATGGAATGGCCCTCAACACTGGGGTATCTCCATTACTAAAAAAATGGTGTCCACTCTTTGGGTGTCAGCAGGCATTCTCTCCTCCGGTTGGTGGGTGTTCAACCTCATGATTAAGAACTGTCAGCACCCCCGACTATCCTTTGCAGTCTTGTGGAGCCTTATCTCACACATACTTGGATTAGTATCCAGCAGCAGATTGAATATGGGGGACCCCAGTGTGGGTTTCTGGAGCTCTTTTTCTGTGTAGCTCTTTGCTTTCCAGATACTTACCTGTAAATTCAAGTTACCACAGTCCCTTCCACTTTGTATCTCATGTCTCCATCTCCTAAACTCAAGAGCATTGTGTTATGTGTAGGGGTTTCTTTGAAGTAAATCTTTCTGGCTTTGTGTCCTGATTGCATGCGCACACTGTGTGTGTGTGTGTGTGTGTGTGTGTGTGTGTGTGTGTGTGTGTGTGTTTTACTCTTAGATGGTCAAGTTTAAATTACTTACTCATTCAGAATTTATGATAATTCTGGAGCACATGAGGTAAAACTTAATACATCTGCTCAGGTTTTTCTTTTCCTGTCCCATTGCCTGATTTTCTATGTGTCTTATAGCTGTAATTATTTCTTTTGAATTCTTATAATCCTTTATAAGTAATTTCTTCTGGCACTGTGTTCTACTTCGAGTATAATAATTTCTGTTGCTGTGGATGTGTTTATTACTCTTGTTCAATTGTTAGCATTAGATATGCTGTGAGAATAATTGTGAATTACAAGTTTTCAGTTTTTGTAGCTGGGTTCTTCTTTTCTGTCACTGGTTCTCTAACCGTCACAATTCTTAGCAGCTCATGGCTTTTTCTGTCTTTCTGTAACAGATTTCAAGTCAAAAACCAGTGAGGGTTCTTCTCTCACTGTTGGTTTGGTTGAAGAAAGAGTTCATTTAAAACAAGTGGAAAACTTGAAAAAATTAGCAACTTAAAACATGGTACCTGGCACAAAGCCTAGCATAGCTACTATTCTGAGGCAGTTTGGCTTATGCATTCAACTTGTTAATCCATATTAAAGGGGATGAGGTATAGTATTTGACTATATTAAATGTGCTAGGACCTATATAACATGCTCTTTTCTTTTAGTCTTCACAGTAACACTGTCAAATCTATTACCCTTCATAAAGAACTTGCTGGAAAACGTTTCAAAAGTATGGTATGACCTTTAAGTGCAAAGATACAATACATTTGAGATAGTCATGTGTTGCTTAGAGACAGGAATGTTACATTAGTAGATTTCATCATTGTGCACACATCATAGAGTGTACTCTTGCACAGACGGAGACGCCTATGACATCGTTAGGTAATGTAGTCTTAAGGGACCACTGTCATCTTCCATGTGGTTATGTGGCTGAGTGACATACTGTTATGCAACAAGTGATGATAAACATGAAACAAATGTCAGTAATTCAAAAGACAATAGAGGGGAAGTCATTGAATCTATGGAGATGATAAATATGGGAATAAATTACTAAAAGAATGACTAAAGTGTCATTTTTGCAGACATAAAACTTTATCTGAACAAAATTATTTGTGGATTAACTTCTGGAAACCTATAATTATCTTGTGGTTAATCATTCAGATTTTTTTCAAAGTACTCTTGCTGAGTGTTGACATTGTTTCCTTTTGTCGGCAGTTGGTAGCAAGACCTTCCAGTATGAACTGTATGGTGGCTCCTGTAACAGGTAATGATGTTGGAATTCGTAGAGCAGAAATAAAGCAAGGGATTCGTGAAGTCATTTTGTGTAAGGATCAAGATGGAAAAATTGGACTCAGGCTTAAATCGGTAGATAATGTAAGTATTTTTAATACCTGAATTTATCTAAATACAGTATATTGTGGTTAATGTTAGAATAACTTGCACTGGAAATGCGTTAATTGTAATGGTACATCCAGAATTAAGAATATCACAGATCTGTTAATTTAGGTTTTTTCTCTTGGAGATGCCCTATTTTGAAGAGCCAGAGTTACAGCTTCTGATGACATTACTTTGAAAGATTTTTTTCCTTTATGAGTGCTTAACTGAAATTAAAGTTCCTTGGTCATACATATACTACGTTATGTACACATCCAACATAGTTTATTTATATAGTAGAATCCTGGCATTAAAGTAGGGAAGCATATGTGAAAGTTAAGGAAAACAGAGAATAGAATTGTCCGTATTTTTAAGCCAAGTTATGATTATTTGTGAGATGGTTTTGCAATGTATTTCTATCCTTGAAATGCAAATTTAAGGTCATTTCCTGAGGAAATTTCTTTTTTATTAGGGAAGCTATTTACCTTATCAATATTATTTTACCTTAACAGCTAATACTTTACCTGTTACCTTAGCTTACTGAAGACATGAAAACAGGGTTACTCTGAAGAATACCTAGAATTGGTCAGGATGTGCTGAAATTGTTTCAGTCTTAAGTCTCCGGCCTTTCCATGCTATAACTGGATGAAGTTGATCTTGGTAGGAAGCCCCAACCTTGCCTCTTCACCCAGTGTGTGCAGGAGGGGATCTGTATCCTTGTATACTTGTAGCTTAGTAAGGATATACTTGTATACTTGGTTTGGAAATTCTGACTTAAAGTGCTCATTCTCCTTTGCTGCTCTCTTTGTCAGGATTTCTTTTCTGCTTTCCTCCATCCTAAAAAGAAAAGACACTTTGTGTAGCTCCTTTACCCCACCATGTTTATCCCAGTGGTGGATTTGTCCATGTGGCTAAAGCATACTGGTGCATTTGTTGTGGTGCTGCCTAGTTCTTACTACCTCAACAGACCATGACAGAAGTCACATCTGACCCAGCGTAGGATTGTGGAAAAGGTCTACCATGTCATTGTGTTTTTATGTCCTTAGTTTTACTCTATTGTATTTATTCATATTTGGTTCAACATCTGTTTGAGTTTCCAGAAAAATAAGTTGTGGATTTAGTTCCTTAGTATTTGAATTTTCTGAATTTATTTCATTGTAGCTTTTTTATTGAAAGATCATGTGATAGTTAACATAGCATTTTAGGCTGTTAAATACTAAATACTTGATCATGCATAATTTAATGAATGGGTTAACCGAAACTTTTGTCTCAGAAGGCAGAACTGTGCCCCTAAACTGTCATTTTTAAAGCTGTGAAAGAACTCACCTAAATTCTAACATTTGACTTCCTTTCTTTACAAATAACGATGATGTGCTAACATCTCTTGGTATTCTGTCAGAATCAGAGACTTTAATTTATTAAAGTTGCCCTACCTTATTTACCTTATTAGTCTTTTTATTGTGAGACAGTTGTGGTTGGTCAGGTGGGTCATAATTTCAGGGTAGAAATTACCATCTTTTTTTCCCTTTATTTTTTAGGGACATTGGGGAATTACTTTGATACATTTTCAGATTTTTAGGGGGTGATTTGACAAATTAATCATACAGTATTTTTTTTTCTTGGTTACTAGGGTAGATTTCTGAACTCTTGAGTTTTTTCTGTTTTGTAGTACTTCTTAACTATATCCTAACAGTAATAAATGACCAGTACTTTTCTTATCACTAGGGTGTATTTGTTCAGCTAGTCCAGGCTAATTCTCCAGCCTCATTGGTTGGTCTGAGATTTGGGGATCAAGTCCTCCAGATCAATGGTGAGAACTGTGCAGGCTGGAGTTCCGATAAAGCACACAAGGTGCTCAAACAGGCTTTTGGAGAGAAGATTACTATGACCATTCGTGACAGGTAAGATGTTACTAAAGAATTGAAATGGAAATTCTAGGGTAGTTTTCTCTTTTCCTGAGCTTTCAGTATTATGTGGATGTGGTATTTTGTTGTAGAAAATGATCGATGTCACTGATGAGCCTTATAGTCTTGCAGTTGTGTCCTGCAGATTTCTCTTACATTTTAAAATGTAATTCTGGGGGCTGGGGATTTAGCTCAATGGCAAAAGCGCCTGCCTGGCAAGCGCAAGGTCGTGAGTTCAGTTCCCAGTACCGGAGAAAAACAAACAAACAAACAAACAAACAAAAATATATATATATATAATTCTGAGTATGCATACACATCTTTTTTCAGAGGTTATAGTAATTTGTCCTCTAGGTACTTTGCTGTCTGTATCACTCTAGAAAATAGAAATATCTCAGAGAGCGAAGTCACATGCAGCTCCGGCTTCACCTTTCAGTTTACTCCTTAGGTATCTATCCAGCATAGGCCATTCGCATCCTGGGGTTCTGGAGCCCACACAGTACTCCACGAAGTCTAGTTTTGAAAACCTAAGCTCTCGTTATTAAGAGGATGAAATGTTCTCTAGCATTTAGTTCATTTCTAACTTTTAAGTACTTCAAAGAGTAAGCTGGACCAACAGGAAAGTGTGACGGTTATGAATTTTATAGAGGTTGATTCTCAAACCCTTATGATAGACAACACGATTGAGTTGTAGATAAGTAATCAAGTGTAACTGATGTGATAGCTAGTAAGTTGGCTTTCATTTTATAGTACCTGTGTGTCTTCCTTTCCAAATGGGGGTTGAGAAACTAGAGTCTTACTGCTTCTACAGTTCTTTAATAAGTAGAGCGAGGCTGGGGATTTAGCTCAGCGGCAAAGCGCCTGCCTGGCAAGCGCAAGGTCGTGAGTTCGGTTCCTGGTACTGGAGAAAAACCAAAAAATAAAAAAATAAAAAAAATAAAAATTCAGTTTTATTTCTATGGCTTAGTACCTGTCTCATTGTTAATGCGAAAGAATGGTGAATTTTAAAGAAAAAGCTTATCAATAAACTACATAAAGAATTATGTTCAGCTGTCTTTGGTGATTATAGGAAATCTTGATTAGTTGGTTAAATCACTTTTTCTGTGTATGCACAGTATCAGAGCCATAAGTTGTAAATATTCAACATTAATTGTAACAAAGTGTTCAGTCTGGCGGAATGTATGGTTTATGAAATCCATAGAAATGCTAATGTAAGAATTAAAATTTAAATTGGACCCTTCGGTCATGTTTACAGGCCCTTTGAACGGACAATTACCATGCACAAGGATAGTACTGGACATGTTGGTTTTATCTTTAAAAATGGAAAAATAACATCCATAGTGAAAGATAGTTCTGCTGCCAGAAATGGTCTTCTGACTGAACATAACATTTGTGAAATCAATGGGCAGAACGTCATTGGATTGAAGGTAAAGACCTTGTGCATGGTTGTACTGTGGGTTTTATTTTAGAAGATGTTGCCTTTGACCATTTACGTGGTGCTCTTTTTATATTGACGTACAAAATGCGGAAACTTGGTGGAAAATGAGAAGCACAGGATGTTATCTGGAATTGTCTTTCAATAGAAAAGAATTTGGACTAAGTAATTTCTAAAGCCCCTTAAGTCAGAATTCTCTGTAAACATGAGCAGTGAAAATGTTGATGACATTGTGAGTACATGGTAGTCCAACTTTTTCAATCCAAGAATACAGGAAAAGAGTAATAGTTTTGGATCACAGTAGTATTATATTTTTCGAGTTTTCCTCTGTAAATTGATGTCTATCTTAAGGTTGATAGGTTTTAAGACCTTGTTTCATAACCTTTGGAAAATATAGTTAACTGAGTATATTTTATTGTATATAGGGAAAATTGTTAACTTAGTAGTGAATTGATTGGGTCTAGTACATTCAATTCAGGTTACTTAGTAGTTTTCTAAATAGCTGTAAAATTGTGTTTTGTAGAATTAAACTTGAAAAGTAGAATAAAATGAGAAATACCAAGGTATTCAGAATTTTGGAGATTTAATAGCAAAACAGTGGGATGTAGAGTGTATATTTCTCTACCAGCAGAGAGAGTTTTATGTTCGTTAAAGCTTCAGTGAAATTTTTATTGTGTTTTCATCAGGATTCTCAAATAGCAGATATACTTTCAACATCTGGGACTATAGTTACCATAACAATCATGCCTGCTTTTATCTTTGAACATATCATTAAACGGTAAGGTTTTCAACTTAATTTAAGCACTGTACTCTCCTATAATGTCAACATCTTTGGTTCTTTTTACCTAAGGAATGATGCTGGTATTTATCTAGAAATTTTAAATTATTTAAATCAGAGGAATTGATCAGTAAGGGTGACCCCTCATAACTTTCCAAGTATGGGATAAAACGAAATTTTGACAGTGCATAGCTTAAAAATTGAAAAAAACGGTAGCATACTTGCAGTCTGCAGTACAACTGAATTTAGACTGCAGTTGTCCTCTGCCCACACTTCATCTCTTAATAGAAAACTCTTCAGAGTAGCTCGTGATGGAGACTGTTGCCTGTGGGCTGTGAAGAACAGTTTCTGTTCTCTCCAGCATCTGATGAGGCAGATGTAAGTGTGCGATGCTGTAGTCGTCCCTCAGGACTGGATTGAAAAGCTGAGTGAAGAGAACTGAAGAGGGCCAGAATGGGTTACTTTCTCTACAGCTTTTAAATACCAGCTCCTATTGGAGTTGTTTTTGCCAGGCTCACTTGGTATCATCCTTTCACAATTTCTGTCTTGGGTGTGGAAATGAAATTCGAAAGTCCTAACATAGCCCTTGCAATAAAATGTTTTATCTATGTTGGCTTTTGGTCAAACACAACTAAACGCTGCAAGAAGAAAAATACTTAATTGTCCAGACACATTGTTCCAGGGTTTCCTTAAACCACTAGGTACCTAGGTGGCTCCACGGTATTTCTTCTCCCAACTCGTCACATCCTTGTCGTTTTTTTTTTCAGTCACCAACCTTAGTATACAAGGCCTTCCTTATGTCCTGTCTAATTTGCTTAGCCTCATACAGGTAGCCTTTTACATTGAGTGTTTGCCAGTTACTAGATTAGCAGAGACCTTTAGATGTGAACTCGTGAAAAGACCATTCTCCTTCTCTCCCGACCACATCGATGCTGATAGGTATTAAATTGGTGTGGAGTTTTCTTGGGTTAACATGGCATTTTTGAAAAACCTTAGTGTATAATGAAAGTAATTCTCTTGTAGGATGGCACCAAGCATTATGAAAAGCCTGATGGATCACACTATTCCTGAGGTTTAGAAGTACTTAGCACAATGGAAACACAGCTAAACTCCTGTTTCCTTCTTTGGCAACTTCTGCATTGCGCACATGGAGCTTTCCTGGAGCCAGGGAACATATGCTGCATGAGGACCTTTCTATCTTACATCATGGCTGGGAATCTTAACTGTTTCATCTGATACCTTCTTCAGATTTCAAGATAGTTGTAACCTTATCCTGGTTTTACATGTGTGAAACTTTCAGAAGATTTATTGACTTTCCTAGAACAGTTTTTCGACAGGAAAACTGATGCTTTTATAAACCATTGCGATTAGGATGATGGATGCAGGCTTAGCTTTGCGTGAGAACAAGTCACATTTTTCTTAGGTAATTAGTAGTGATCATATTACTTTAGTTCTTTGGTATCTTTACATTTTTCACATGTTATCATAGTGTATTTAGTATGATTAGCTTCAATTTTTTTTTTTAAGTTCTCTGTATGTAAAAGCAATTAAGTTACACTGGTTTCATTCCATGTAAGCATTATACAGTGTATGCAGGTTGCAAGAGATTATGATTGTCTTTAAATTTTAACTACCTTCACTTAATATGCTTGACTGTCGCCTTAACTATGTTAAGTATCTAGAATAAAAGCCAAACATTATTGCTGCCTTTCTGAAGCCCAAAATGTAGTTCCGTACTAAACTGAAACGTACACTAGCCAGCCTACAGAAGAGTGTACTGATACTTACTGAGCTATAACATAGCTGCTTAGTTATATGTGAGATTTTTTTAGTCATTGCATAGTAGAAAACTGTACAAGTTGCATCACTTTCTGAAAAACAAATCACTATATATTAAAAATGAAAATTCTTACACTATACAGGATAAACTTTGGAGATAAACTTTGGACTCTTTCATTTGTAGATGAAGTGGGATAATACTTAATTTTGGCACTTAAATCTTAACCTGTAGCTTAGCTACTTTGGGATGGCCTTAGAATGTTTTTCTGTTATACGCTACTGATTATTCCCTGCAAAAAAATGGAAATGACATTTGTCCTGATTTTTTGTTCCTTCATTTTGTTTTATGCTATCCAGTTAAACATGTAAAAATAAAGTTTTAATCTGCTTATTACTGGGGAACTTTGTCAGTCACCAAACTTGTGTATGATCTTAAAGATGGACATGTGAAGTTTATCTCTGGCTGTGGAAAACAGTCCTCCCTTTTATAGGGGCCCCGAGAACAACCCACGGACTGAAAGGCCACCTAGAGAATGAATGTAGCTGGGAGTCCCACACTGCTGGGCTGGTTCACCCTGTGCACTTTTCACACAGCAGGAACTCAGGCTCTTGTTTCCCTCTAGCAACACCATAGACTACATGTTTAATGATAAAGCTAACCTGAAAATAATCTGTACCTTGGTTTGATCATATTTTTTCTCTTACACTATCCTGCCTGTAAGATACAACAATGCTTTTAAAGTGTGTAGAAAAATTCACATAAACTGTGATATGAGCGAAAATCAGTGCTACTACTGTATATCATACTGTTTGAAGTTTAAAGTAACGTTTCCCAGTTTGATAAACAAGCTTGGTATTTGGACTTGGGTATGAAGAACAAAAACTATATTCCTGTCACTAAGTATAGTTTTCTAGAAGGACCAGTACTTGTGAGTCTTACATTACTACTAGTCTTTGTTACAAATAATTTAAATGAGAAAATGAAAACGCTGTTATTACAGAAAAATATTTTTAATGTAAAAAAGATGAGCATTTAATAGCTTAATGAAATACAAACCGTTCCTATACACAGTACACTTAACTGTTATAAGAACAGCTAGTCGTTCCCCTGGTTCTTAAAATCTGGGTACAGCATTATATCAAGTAACCAACCTGAAAACACACATACCTAAAACCCAGTGGCAGCAACTGGTAAATTAGGAAAACAAGATCAGAGTGACTCAAGCAGCAGAAGATACTGCACATTTTCTTGGAAAATTCTAAACTCCTCAGTGCATTTCAGTGTTTCCCTAGTCCAGGTTAGTATTTCTTAGCTTCTGTTTGCCACCCAGTCCTGTCTTCCAGCCATCATTGACCTGCCTTGCACATGTAACATTTCTCCCTAACACTGCCATGCATGTTTTATCTGCCTTATATGGCAATTAATGGCTTTCAATGAAGTCACCATGATTTAAAGCCACACATTTTTCCATGTGGTAAAGCTTCTAATTACTATCACAGCATATTCACCAGTTCATTTAAAAGTCTGGTTTAAAAATGCATTATAATAGTCAAAAGAGGAAAAGGCACTTAATACTGCAATTTCCAGAATATAATTTGTCTGTCTTCCCCTCCTGTGATGACACTGCTGCACTGTTCGTTCATCCATATGCATGTCACAGCACCTGAGGAAAAAACACTTAGGTTAGGAAGAGTTGACCAGGAGATACCAAAAGGTGTACTTCAATACCTACTTTTCACTCATTCACAAAGAAAAGTGAGTTGTACTTTGTCTTGATTCTATGATAAAATCCTTGTATAAATTAACTGCATGGGCTGGGTATGGTGGTACCTGCTTGAGATCATGGCACTCAGGAGGCTGAGGCAGAAGGATCACAAGTTTGAGGCCCTGGGCTGCATAGTTCAAGGCCAGCCTGAACTACATAGCAAGATCCTGTCAAGAAAACCAACCCCTAACCCCAAAAAACATTCAGGAGAAAGTATTTGTAAAGACTAAACCTTTTAGATGTAAATCTAAAGCTAAATCAACTGGGATTTATGGGTACAGAACAAAATTTAAATACATATCTTGGCAAAATGGTGTACTACAACAGAGGTCGGCAGACAGATGACAGGGAACCACTGACCAAGTTTGCTGATTTACTTTTCCATTGGAAGAGGTTAAGTGCTAATTAGAGCTAGTAAAGCTATCACATTGAGGGGAGAAAAGGAATAGATACATAATTCTAAAGTATAAATGCAAGAAGCAATAATCATATGGAACTGACAGTGAAGAGAATGACAGTGGGAAGTTACAGCTCACAGCAGGAAGTCAACAGAGGTAACACTAGGAGAATTAAAAGCTGTCCAAAAATTATTTGGAAGTAAGCATGCAAATATAAGCTACTAGGGGACAGTGAATCTCCAGGAGATAATACTAGGTAAAAAGTGGCAGAAGAGCTTTGTATTAAGCAATTTTATGTACATTCATTAAACAAAGGATCTCTGGGACACACACTGGAGAATGTTCTCTCAGGAGGACTGAGACCTATGAACAGGGTAACAATGGTGGCAAGCATTACTTCATACTGTAATAATTTATCTTTTCTAATTGTGCATTATTTTTAAAATGACACTACAGCTTTGCTATGGTTTTTAATTTTCCATACTAAAGTTAACGACCTCCTTTTTGGAGTCAAATGTCCATCAGCATAAATCTAAAAGTCAAGACACACATCGCCAAGCAACCATGACTCACAGAAAGCTCACAGCATGAAGAACTCCTGGAGCATTTTCTGCCTGGCCAGAGCATGTTTCTGATGAAACAAGCAGGCAGGCCTGAGTTCAGGAGCTCAGAAACAGACTATAAAACACCTGTGGGCTGCTTACCACTGTGGCCCTGTATTCTCTCACTGACTTTTGCTCCAAGGAGGTCCCAGACCAGCAGCTCACCAGACTCACTTCCAGATAGAACAGAATTGCCATCCCAGATGAAGCACCTACAAGAATGATTTGGAAATAACTTTTGTCGTCATGACTGAATGGGTGGGTGCGTTAAGTGGCCAAATACCCCAAGTGAAGTGACTCTCAGTGTTTTCCCCCAGTGTGTCACAGCTGTGCAGTAACTGCACCTCTACCTCTGGGCTTTGTCTGATGCCATGGAGGAGATGCGCATTCCTGTCTGCACATCGATCACATTCAGACAGCCATCTGCTCCTGTGCTGAGGATGTGGCGACTATCTGTGAGACAAGGAAGTGGTTTCAGAATGTGGTTTAGCTTATGTATTACAAAATTTCATTTCTGAATCTGGCCTGCTCCTTTTCCTTGAACTTCTTAAGCAGCAAGTATTTTGTCCTATAAATGGCTTTTACCTGTCTCTTAAGACACTGGGATGAGATGACCCTTTGATATGAATTCATTTACATCTTACTAATTTCTCTGGTAAGTTGACCTATGAACAACATACAATTCTGCTTTTCTCCTTGGCACCAGTGCTTCAGGTATACTCTATCCTGGCCTGAATCCTGTAACCATAGGCAGAACATTTATCACCAGTAGTGTTTTTTCCTTTTTTATTTCACAACTCTAATTTACCTGACATCTTGAGTATAAGAAAGGATAACACCCACCTGGGCTGAAAGCAGTAGCACATACAGCCCCTGAATGGCATGGGATCTGGTGCAGAAAGGTTGCTGTAGTGAGGTCCCAAATAGTCACCGTACCTTCTTTGGTACCTGAAGCTAGCAGTGTGCTTGCTGCATTTAAACTGATTGTATCTACCTAAGGAAGAAAAGAGTGATCAATATTCCATTGAACATGGCTGTCTGTATGTCTCCAGAGACCAACTCAAGTATGTGGTCACAATGATGCACTCGGAACTCTACCACTCTACCATGCAGGGTGTGGGTATCGCTTATTTCGGTATCAACAGCATCCTACTGAATGACCCTCTGTTTTAAAATGAAGCGCACACACAGAAATGAAGATGTAGTATTGCTAGGTAACTGTAGTGCTGTTTCCAACTGGCCTGACAGTCTCCAACAGGTAAGTCCACACGTAATTACGGTGAGCTGCCCGGCCACAAGTACATGAGGGAGCAGCGGGGCAGGGAGTCCCCACGAGACCACACTTGCATGTCATCTTGAATCCTAAGTATTTCTGAACCTCCGTTAATCTGAAAGCCATGAGAATGAGGCATCAATTCACAACCAGGGGAAAACAGTACTATGAACTACAGCCTTAGTGTGCAGTACTGTGACCAGTGAAAACAGAGCAAGGGAGAACTAAGCTCCTTTTTGATTCTGCCACCAGGCTGTGCATACTCAGTCATCCTACGCAGCATACGCAGCAGGCTACTGTCCTCAGCTGGGATGAGTAGGTCCTGGACAAATGGTCCCTTCCACCTTCGGGGTTAGGAAATATGGAAAGATAACATGTTGGTTGCATCTTGAAAGTGACATTTTGGCCGGGCATGGTGGTGCATGCCTGTGATCCCAGTACTCAGAAAGCTGAGGCAGGAGGATAGCTGTAAGTCTGAGACCAGCCTGGACTACAAGATGAGTTCATGGACAGCCTGAACTGCATAGTGAAACCCTGTCTCAAAAAGACCAAAATAAACTGACATTTTAGAAATCTAGTTTGTTGGAAGCTACTTCTCAGGGAAATGTATAAAGAAACAAATTTGAAAAATGGAAGAGTGCAGACTTGAAACCTAAATAGTCAACTGCAGCTTTCTGCAGTCTTGTTCCTGGTACTCACACTGACATCATGTTCCAGCTCGGCCAGCAAGTCAAACTGGTGTCTTCTGGTGCCAGGCATTTCTGGAGGGACACCAGACCACACCTGGGACAGAACACATTGAAAAAGGTATTTTCAAACTTGCAATACAAAGTTATTTGCAATGCATTTAGGAAAAACTCTGGACAAACTTCCATTTAACATAACTGCCAATGAAGTGAGGCTGGTACTGGTCCAGCTTCACCTCCCCAATGCCTGCATACTTTCCCTAGCAGCAAGAGCTGCTTGCTTACAGCTGACTTTTTGTACCTGTGTCTGTCTCCATCACTTGCTGCTGTAACTATGTGGTCTAACTTGTGAGCACCTTAATGAACTATATTGCAGATGTGTCACAGTACCTATTTATGTTTTGAGAGACTCAAAAGGAAGTCATTAAAAATTACTAAAATCTGTAGAGGCAAGTAAGCATATTTAAAAGGATAAAAGGGAAAGTCCTAAAAAATTTCTTAAGAAGTTCTAATGGTTTTAGTGCTTGCTTGCTTTATATAAATGCAAGTTAGAAATGGTATAGGGTGAAGAATATTTATGTGGGAAATAGGTGGAGGATTCTAAATAAAAGGCTTACATAGTTCTACATGAAAAGAATGTTAAATGAAAATGCATTTGTATGCTTCAAATGTAAGTAAAATGTATCTTTTAGTGATTCCTCACTTTCACTTGAAATCGTATGATTAACTGATCAACTGCTATTTCCAGTCATGTCCCATAAGGGGCTGCTACTGTAAATTTTTCTACGTTTCTCTGTGAAAATGAATACCAGACCTTTTAACACTTAGTTGAACTTATTATAAAGAAAGTCTAACAAACTTTCTATTAAGAGGTGCCTAAATTTTAAGAAAAACACAAGTAATATATTCAATATCCTTATATATCATTTACACACCATTAAAAAGTGATTTAATATATCAACAAGTGAAATGGTTTATATTTTATTCCGAACACTAACGTTAAAAATTATACAGAAACCTTCACTGTGGAGTCCCACGATGCAGAATATAGCCTGTTGTCATGCCAACAGATCTGACTAACAGCATCATCATGCCCCATTAATGTGTCTTGGCGTCTTCCAAATGCTATGGAATAAAAATAGCTAAAAGATAATGACAACCATTAAAACAGTATTCCAGGATAATGTTAAGACTCCTAAACACATATTTAAGAAATATAAATCTTGTTTCATTCCACACTAAGTCCCACTCAAATTACAAATTTCTTCTTGTTATGTTATTAAAAATATTCAAATTTTTTATTTAAAACTAGAAATTTCCAAGTCTGGCTCATCTGTATTTTCACTTTAGTTTAAAACTTAGAAAAAAAGATGCCAAATGGAAGTTATGAGATTCAAATAATATTTGAACATAATGCTATTGTTCTTATCAGAATGCTCTCTTTAAAAATTACTTTGGGTCGGGCTGGGGATTTAGCTCAGCGGCACAGTGCCTACCTGGCAAGCGCAACGTTGTGAGTTCAATTCCCGGTACCAGAAAAAAACCAAAAAAAAAAAAAAAGAACTTACTTCGTGTCCTCCAGTGGAAGGTTCTGTCTTTTTATACCTCATATCTACCAAGAAAGCTCCTCTGCATATGGAATTACAAAGGAATAAGCATCATAGGTACATACACATTATTGTCCCAAGAAGAACTTATGACAGTAGCATCTCCCGGTAAAAGTAAACAAGATGATAAAGCCTGAAATACAAATGATTTGACATTAACAGTTTGTAATATATGAGAAAACTATAATTTCCTCCCAATATTAATGAAATTGTCCAGTTCTTTTTCTGATGGCTCTCTTCGTAATTATCCAGATTTTTCTAAACTGTGTAGTTTCACATGTAAGATTTCCTCCAAAATACAAAATGTATTGTAAGTTCGCCTGAGGACATAGGCTCTGATGGGGCAAAAGAAATAATAATACCTTAAGAAATAATAATAATACCTTAATACCCTGGTAAACTGTAGGGACTCAGACTTGGGATAATCCTTAAAAATGAAAATGCCCTCAGAATTATAGACTATATAAATAAGGAAAATTTACTAAGTTTCTTAGAGAATTTCAAAATCTTTTGGATGATTAATATTTAAAAATGAAACGTGGAGCTCGGGATTTAGCTCAGCGGCAAAAGCGCCTGCCTGGCAAGCGCAAGGTCGTGAGTTCGTTTCCCGGTACCGGAGAAAAAAAAAAAAAAAAAAAAAAAAGGAAACGTCATTTTAAAAGAATTAGCTTTGTTGGATTTGGCTGAGAATCAATTGCATAAATTATTTAAGGAACACATAAACGTTTTGTTTGACAGTTAAAGATTTTATAAAGAGACTACTAACTGGGTAGCTCTTCAAATTATTTAGGGTAAAATAAAGTCACAAGCTGGGGGTGGTGGTGCACGCCTGTAATCCCTGCACTTGGGAGGCTAACGCAGGAAGATTGTTGCAAGTTTGTCAGGAGTGAGCTCAAGGCCAGCCTGAACTGCATAGTGAGACCTTGTCTCAAAAAGCCAAAAAAAAAAACAATAAAAAAAGAAAGAGAGGGGCTGGGGATTTAGCTCAGTGGCACAGCACCTGCCTGGCAAGCACAAGGTCGTGAGTTCAATTCCTGGTACCGGAAGAAAAACAAACAAAAAAAAAAAAAGAAAGGCAACCTGGAAAAAATTTTAAGTTAAATTTAGATTAAGGTATTATGTAGATTAGGAAGAAATTCAATTGTATGGGCAGAAATGAAATACTATATGTGTGTATAAAACAAACTCTTACTTGAATTTCTATTACAATACTGATAAAACTTACCATATTTGAAAATGATACACTTCTTTGTAGCATTTTGGATTCTTTAGAAAACATCTTCAAGGTGGAATCTAATAATGAGAAAGCAGATGTGTAAGAAAGAATTTCCTAACCATCACTGTCAAAGGGTAGCTGCTCTGCTTGTTCCTGAAGTCAACAGGCACTGTGATCCATGGGGGCTGCGCACACACAAGGCTGGACGACCTACAACCTCTCTGAGTCCTCAGGAAGAAATCAGTTCAAACTCAGACACCCATGCCTTTGCAGAGCCTGGTAACTGAGGTGAGCAAATGTACAGAGCAGGCAGACAGCAATGTTAGTATTAATACTAAAATAATTTTAATATTAAAAATCTTGGCAATTAAAACAAATAGGCCAATTACAGTGTGGCAACCCTGAACTGAACTAGAACTTATGGGAGACAACCACTAATTTCTGAAAGAAGAATGAAGTAGCAATTAAAATCTCCAAGCTTTTAATGTCCTTGCCTAGTAGAAGCTTTAAAAGTTTACTAAAAAACCTAAAACAAACAAACAAAAAAAACCAGGAGGGCTGGAGATATAGGTCAGTGGGAAAGCACTTGCTTAGCATACACAAGACATTGTGATCAATCTCTGGCGCTCCCCTTCTCCACTAAATAAAGCCAGGACAAACGAAGAACGATAAGGAAAGCAAGACTCACAAACTGCAGTGCTCTGATGTGCTGTGTATGTCCCACAGCTGAGGCATGTAACAATCCATTTTCTAACTTACAGAGACTGTTGTGACAGAATGTCAGAATGAGCTTCAAGTAATTTCTGTGCAGCAATCTAATATTTGCAATACCAACACACAGAATTCCTGAGAATTCATAAACATGAGCCTCAAAAAGACATTCCTCAGCATTAACTTGAAAACAAAAACAGAAAAATAAACACCATACTGCTGCACTTTTCCCCAACAGCTATAATTATACTAAGTCTTCCAACCTTGCTTTTGATATTACTAGGCAATTCTGAGTATCCACCTCAAACTGCATCAGAGACAATTCATTTGGGGCATCCTACAGAACACTGTGAACCAGCTAGGTATGTAAAGATGTTTTCCTGGAAATCAAAGTTTCCATCTTTTTATTGGAGGTGATCAAGTTAAAAAGGCTGCAGAACTAATCTCACAGGTGATGAGTCCTGAAAATGCCTGAAAATAAGCCTAAAAAGGCTGCAAAAAGAGCTAATCTCATAGGTGAAAAGTCCTGAAAATGAAAACATAAATATAATACATTTGTGAGAGAGAAACTTAACTTTGGGATACATACAAATCAATAATATGAATCATGAAAATTATAAATGAGCATAAACATACAAAGCAAATACTTTTTGCAAAAAAAAAAAAATCCCTCTCTGGCAAATCCACCCAGTGCTTATTAAGCTTGACAGATAGGAAGCTTTGATGTTCATAAATTCAAGATTTACAAGGTCACAAAGAACAATGAGTTAAAGGATTTAACAAAGCATGTCAGACAAATCCAGCTAACCTCAAAGGCTTTGCTAAAAGATAAAACACTCTGTCTGGCACTACAAAGTTGGCAAACCCAGAACACACACTTTCCTCTACCAGAATACCATCTCAGGGATCTGGATGTGGTTTTGGGTCTACATGTCAAATTCCTGAAGGTCAATTGCAGAATCACTTTCTACACTTTTTGGGAAATTCTTTTTTACAAACTCTGAGATCACATTTGAAAAGAAAGGGAGGAAATGCTACAGATAACAAACACAGCAACAGACCTGGAGAGTAGTTAACTCTGATTTACCTAGAAGTGTTTAGTTACACAGCACTAGTTCTTAACTTTAATGGATCAAATACATAATCTCCTGTTATAAGTAAGGACTAAAGAATAAGTAGTCTCATTAAAAACAGCTACTAACTTTTTTCAGTGAAGCAGGACACCTTAGATAGTACCCCTTTCATTCCACACTTTCCAAGGAAACAACCCAGTGCTCTGAACATACCAGGGACAGGAAACACTTTAATTATATTACAGAGACTGCCAGAGAAAGAAAGGTAAGTGCAGCAAGAAATGCATTTTGCGTATTTATTTTTAAAATCAAGGCAGCCATATTATAAAGTATCATTAAAATACACGTCTTATCAACCAGATACTGCAGGCGTTTTTATAACATTTGACAATGTATTGGTAAATAGTAATGTATTAAAGTCTGAGCTAAAACTTATAAAAACATCCCAAAGAGATATGAGGTGAATGACAAAACTGGAAAACATAACAGCAAATCTGCATTCCCATATGCTAACATGCACAGCCCCACATCTGACACAGCACTTGCTTACTTGCTGGTTGCATTTTAGGCTCAAGCAGAGCCAGCAAGGAAACCTGAACCCTCTCATGGCAGGTGGGAAAGACGCTGATGGAGGACATGGGAAAGAGGTTCCTTCTGCCCTGCATCTTTATTTATTAGCAAGAGTTTTGTTTTTGGCAAATTATAATAAAATTCTAACATATCACAAATAAATGATTCTGAATCTACTTTTGTGGAGGCGGGAGATGCATGTAAAGTTCCTGAGTAGGATTTCAGAAACTTAACAGTTTTGATTCTGGTGAAAACACTTTCCAGGCAGGGACACATACCTTGTGATGTTGTGAAGACTGAAGACCCATTGCAAGAGACTGCTATCCCTGTAACTGCCCTGTTTAAAGACAAGTTTTATAGAGTACTATCAATCATGTGCTGTCAGCCATATACTAGGACACCTGCTCTGTTTCGTGTCCTGATTTACTTTTAACAGGTTTCCTTAACATATTTCTGACAATTTGAAAATGCTTCTCTTTCACTATCTTATCTATCACCAAAGTGACTAAACCTCTTCTTTATGATCACTTTGCTGACTTCATTCCTAAATCTAATTTCTCTGGCATCTGTCAGCGAGACAAACATCAGCTTCTAGCATTTCCACTCAGGGGTCACTCAAGGGTCATTAAACACTGTATGAATGAATACTGGAGGTTCATCCCTGCTTTCACTGTCTTGAGTTTCATGCTGCTTCACTTCCTCCTGTGTGCCATTTGCCGTTATCAAGACAATGAACACAGCAGAACTAGCTGCTTCATTTCAGGAGGCTGAACTATGATGTGGAGCCATGTGCCTGGAGTGAAGCCACGCACCCAGCGCATACAGGTCGTCTCCTGAGCCATCGCATCAATCACTGACAATCACTGACAGTCACTGCCTATCACCAGACTGTCAGTGGCCACGAAGCAGGACAGGGGCCTAGGCTCTGGGCTTGAGTTTTCTTTCTGCAGTAGCAGGATGGGCCAGGCTAGGCCAGTACTTCTCAGACCACCAGTGGATATGAACACTCTTACTGGAGAGGACAGGGAAAACTCACATCTCCTCTGGGACCAACAAGCCCTTCTTTGATGTATAGGCATTATTTTGAAAATTCATGTAAACTTTGCAATGCAGTTTTCTGCCTCCTCTGACCCCTGAATTTTTCCTGTATTTTCAGTAAATTCAACACGAGGACAGATCAGACTTCTCCTATAACTTTATACCGTCAGAGATGTAAGGGGCAGTTTGAGAGGCCCAAAACTACTTGCCATCTAGAGACCCCATCTCATATTCAAGAATGTCATAGTCATGGGGCTAACACAAATCATTCTGTGTCAAACTTTCCCTTGCTGTATCAACTTTGGATGGCAGATCACTTACAAACATTGTAGGGGAATAAAGAACATGACACTAAAAGGAAATTTTCCCTCATGACTCAGCCTAAGACAGTTTAATCCTATGCTAAGATCCTAGCTTTTGCAAAGACCGTTGCCTGCAAAGAAGTACAAGGATTGTTCTTACTCTTTGTGGATTTTATACTGTTCATGTAACTGCAGCTTGGTGATGTTATTCCAGGCCAGCGTTTTGCTTTCTTCAGTCAAGTCTTCAAAGGACTCTTCACCTGGAGAAGCTACATTAAATTGTTGGTAAGTGATCATTCAAGAAAACAAAACAAAACATAGCTGCTGTCAAATGTACCTGTTAGCCCCATAATAGTCAAGGAAGAAATCTTGTAGAGAAAGATAAAGAAGCCTCTTTAAACACTAGAGTCTTACCAACATTTGCAAGGTCTATCGTTGACCACTCACGAATTTCAGGAAATCTACGATTGAGTAACTATTTCCTCATCAGCAATCTTTGCAAAAACCTGACAGCTGCCTAACAATGTTGCAAGTTGGATTTTTTTTTTTTGGGGGGGGGGGTTTGGTTTTGAGGTAGCAAAGGAAGAGAAAAAAAATCAACCCAAGGGTTTCTGGACCAAAGTAATGCTTTCACTTCTGCTTTAAGAAAAGCTGGAGCAATTACACTTTTGAAGCGATCATATGATAGTAGTTATGGCTGGTGACTAAGCAGAGCATGGGGTGAAACAGCATCACAAGATAATCCTATGGCCTACATGACTTAATACTGTGAAACAGACAGCATGTCGTGAAGTATTCCAAGCTACCCCTGGTCCCAGGAACTCCAGAAGCTAGTCCTCCATACTGAAGACAGTGCTCAGCTATGTTCGCCTAAAAAGCCCCGATGTGCTTAGGACAGGTAGTAGACTTAGAAAGTAAAACAAATGTGCAGATTTTGCTGCCAACCTTGGCCTACGGTGTCATACAGCTCCTCTGGGAGGCCTGGAGGCTTGAGGCTGTCTCACATAAGATATAAAACATGATGAGCATTTTACTTCCTTTCCAAATACTGGATGCAAGAACTAGGTCAAGTTTATTTTAGTGTCAAGCATATGCCATGCACAGAACAGATGCTCTGTATATATTTATCAAATGTTAAATAAGAAAACAGACTCAAAGAAAACAGCAGTGCGAATTCAAGATCTGTATGTCAGTTTTGCAGAGAACTGGGGACAGAGGTCATTTCTGGGAAAGAGGAAGGTGGACAGTGACTGTTAAAGGAGCCATGGTCAGGAATATAAGTATGAAAAGGTGAACTACCAAGAATTTAGCAAAACCATAGAAAAGACAGGGAACTGTAGTGTGGGAAAAGTCTAAGTCAGGACTCATTAAGTCAAATTAACAAAAAATAAACATGATTTGATTTTTCTTAAACAGCTACAAAAAATAAAACCAGGAGAAAAATATCTCCTAGTAGCAAAGGAATTCATGTTTCATCTAATCTCAAAAACTTTTAACCACCAAAGAGAAACAAAAAGTGTTCACATTTGTTTTCTTACAAACCTTACCTGGGGAATCTGCTATAGCAGCATTATAACTGGAGGTCTGGGACATAATTTTAAAGTTGGAGGTGATCTTTTGAGGATGTGGTGTAACAAACAGTTGTTTTGGTGTCTGCCCAAATTCTAAGATCTGGGTTAGCATGGCTACTTTCTCATCAGGATCTTCAATGCTTCAGGACAGAACACAAATAGCGCAGTGAACCACAGGCTCAAGTTTCGAGACAACACATGTTTCAAATAATGCAGATGAAACAGGAAGGATTAATACTTTAATAATGATAGCAACTATAGGTCTGACTGTCTAAATCCCATGATAGATCTTTATAGATCATTTTCTGATTATCAGTAACCAACATCATGGTGAAAGCAACATACAATTCATTTAAAAATTTCTATACCTTAACATTCTCAAATAACTTATCAATAATGTAGACAAGGTATTTTATAACTCACACAGAAATGCCTTATAACTCACACAGACATGTAAATACCTGTTCAAATCTACACCTCCTTCATAGGTCAGGGGATGAAATACTGCAAGAGAAATATAAATACTATTGAAAGATGTTTTATTTAACTATAATACACAGCCTGTTCAGAATTTAAACATCACAAGTTAGAACTCTGTTCAAAGAAACTGATTTTCATTTTGCAAACCAGACATCCTCAAAATGAGTAAAGATTAGCTTTGATCATTATCTTTTGATGAACAGAAGTCTAGTTTGCGATTAAATGACTTGTGTGTTTCTCAGGCATTATTTCCTCCTTCAGGAAAGCATGAGTCACAGTATTAAGCTGGCCCTAAGTAGCATGTGAGAAATGAGGTCACATTTCTAGCTCTAGTTCCTTATTACTGACCCAAAAAAACTTGGAGGCAAGTAAGAACTGACGCTGAAGCTCAGAGGAGGAGGTATTTTGCTGCTGCTTCTCTTCTGGTTAACAAAAAAAAAAAAAACAATAGGTACCTTCATAGGACTTGAGGTCATTGTCCTATCATATTTTGAGTTTTAAATTATTAAATGACAGAGAAAGCAGTCAACCTTCTGTATCAGTGGGTTCTACATCTATAGATCCAATCAATGGTATACACTGGGAGAAAATGTACCTATACTGAACAGGCACAAACTGTTTTTAATTCATTACTCTCTAAACAACATAGTATAACAGCTATTTATGCAGCATTTATGTGAGGTGTTATCAGTAATCTAGAGATGATTTTAAATATACAGGACAATGTGTAGTTTTTATGCAAATACCATACCATTTTATACAAGAAACTGAAGCATCTACAGATGTTAGTATCCATAGACGGTCCTAGAACAATCCTTTGTAGATCCTTTGTAGATACTGAGAGATGACTATATATAATAAGATCAGAAGACTAGAAAAGACCTCTTGGAACCACGGTGAGGCAGATAAAATCTAGACAAAAGTCATTTCTCCATTACCTCTTATGTAACACAAGGCCAGAGAGCCAGTGGGCACTGTTCTCTGACATAAGATGCTTCTGCAGAAGAAATAAGCTTGATTGCTCTGGCCTCATATTTTTGTTTGTTTGCTTGCTTTCATTAAGTGCTAACAGAAACTTTGGTAAATAGCATATACCATTATGGGCCCCAACAGCATCACTCCCTTTCTGCTTGTAGCCAAATATGAGATCAATCCACTCGTGAAGATGCTCTGATACATAACTGCTTTCCAGCGCATCCTTGCTCTTCTGGAGAAAGTCCTCAGGGCCTACAAGATGAGACTGAATTACAAAACCATGCAGTCTCCCTTTTATTTTCTCTCTCTTTTTTTTTTTTTTTTTTTTTTTTGGTTTTTCTCCGGTACCGGGAACTGAACTCACGACCTTGCGCTTGCCAGGCAGGCGCTTTTGCCGCTGAGCTAAATCCCCAGCCCCTCTCTCATTTTTTCTGCCTATCAAAATGTAGATAAAGCTTCTAGGGTAGGCAAAAGATACATATTTTAAATGTGGTTGTTCTCCTCCCATAACATGAAATGTAAAGTTTTTTGGGAAAAAAAAAGTGGCAAGAATCACTGTCATAGCATTTAGGTCTCTCGAATATTTGAATATACAAGGTCTCCCACAATACATTTAGGTCTCTCAAATTAATTTTTTGCATCAGAGACTCAGGATACTTCTGATTGGGAATACACTGATACTGCTTCAGCCAGATAGACAATAATCTCATCACTTTAAAAAATATCTAAGCAACAAAACAATGACACCAAAACTGCACTACTCGGTAAACAAGATACCTGCAAAATGGTACTCACTTGAGGCCCACAGAGGAAGCTCAACATCGTCAACTATCTGCCCTCCTTGTCTCTTTCCCAAATCCAGCTTCAGACTATTGACTAAAAAGCTGACATCGTCACCATAGAACTCTGGAATCAACTGAAAATTTTAGGAGGGAAAAAAACCCAGCAACATTAAAAAAGCAGTTAAAAACCATCAGTCCCATGAATCATTAGCTTCATTAACTGCTTACTTCTTTAAAATCTGTTGCACCATCCAAACAGTTTTTCCAGGTTTCTGCAATACTAAATGGGAAAAAAAGTGCATATGTTAAATCTAAGCTGCAGAAAGAATAGCAGCAGTACTTGCGGTACATCCACCTGTGTAACACCTACTGTCCTGTGATTTTCCCCATACCAACTCATTTTCTCATCCACCCATAGCTTATGACATCCATGTATGTGCCTTTAGTGAGAGAGACAACTGGTGTTCAAGAAGTATCACAGAGAAGAAGAGTGTGGAATCTAAGTGCACATCATTATTCGCCACACACACAGCTTTGTCCAAGGTGCCCGAATACTAAAAGATTAGCACCCTCTATTAATAGCTCATTTAAAAGGAGTGTAGAGCTCAGAAATACTTCAGAAAGACATATATCAGAAAATGAACAACTATTATCATCCTCATATGGTGAGATATCAAGTGATCTTTATTTTTTTCCTTTGTATTTTGATTTATTGGTAAGGAAATAGTACACACACACACACACACACACAGTTAAATACTTTCAGGGAGTTATATTCAATTCATAGCAGAATTAAGAATAATAAGACGTTAGAAACAATATAAATGCTTAAGAGAAAAAAATAGCTGAAATAAATTATGGCATATGTTAGAATGTGATACAGTAATTTTTAAAAATCACTATTTTGAAGAATACCTAACAGTATGGGGAAAATTTCAAGATCTACTATCAAGCCATAAAAAGCAGGACAAAAGTCTTTATTTAAAATATGTTCTCAAGGGCCAGGGACCTAGCTCAGCAGCACAGTGCCTACCTGGCAAGCACAAGGTCCTGAGTTCAGTTCCCGGTACCAAAACATAAAATAAAATATATCCTATATATATATATATCAATATTCCTTAACATTTTTGTTTATATTTAGTTTTAAAACAAACACTATGAGCATACATAAGCATTATGCTAAGCGAGGCATATGTCAAACCTGTTGAACATTCTGTCTGCATTATCGAATCTCCCGTTCTGCAGGCACAGCATATACTCTGGTGCTGAGGGGGGAAAGAATTAGAGTGAAGCACAGCACATCACCTGAGATGCGTGTGAAACAAAATGTAATCAAGGTAATGCAAAACAGCCTTACCGATCCTAACCAGGTAAAAGAGCACGTAACCTGGGGAAGAGTAGTGACTTCCATACATGAATTTTGGCTCAGGCATTTCCTGGTAGCGTGTCTGTAATGCAGGAAAGAACAGCACTGTGTGTTGGAGATAAAGTAGAAACTGACTCAAGAACTAAAGGCCTAAAGAGATGGTGACATGGACGCACTGTATTCCTTAGTTTCCCTCCCAGCTGGGGAAAGAAGAAGAGGGAGAGGACATCTCTGAGTAACATTTCCTGTTGCAAGTGTTCTGGTTTTATAGAACAGTGCTGGGGCTGGATGATACAGAACTGATTTTGTGCATCTCATATGATTTACCCCATGATACCTCCATGAGCACAATACAGTAAAACTAAATCAGGTCCCGCTCCTGCTTCCTGAATTGTGCACCATAATACAAATGGTGAGCAGCTACATTCATGGTAGGGAAAAGAAGCGAGAGGCACACCATGAAGGGTCAGTGACTTACTCCTGGTGCATTCTCTTAAACCTCAGAGAAAGGAGTTTCAGCTTCCATGAAAATATAAGTTTTCTTGATCATGATTTTGCTTAGAAACCTCGAATTTCCTGGGCATGATGGTGCGCACCTATAATCTCAGCACTCAGGAGGCTGAGATAGGAGGATTACTGTGAGTTCAAGGCCAGCCTGGGCTACACAGCAAGACCTTGTTGCAAAAGAACAACAAGAAAAATGAAACCTTGAATCCTATGCCCACATACCAGCAGTCTCTCCAGCCGTTCCTTATTCAGGGCTCCCACTGGCCTACTAAGGTCCCTGAAAGTTCCTGGATTTGACAAATCTGTAAACATAAATAAATAATTTCAGCATATATCATCACCTTGTTGAACTGATTCAAATGGTTTTTAAAATTGATATAAATAATAGCATTTCTGTTATTTATATAGCTCCAAAAAAGTTAGCAATATCTGCATAATAGTATCCTTAATATTGGTTTTTGCAAAAAGATTTCTGATTAAAAACTATATTCAAAGTAGAACAAAAAATTAAATAAATTTTAAGCCATTATGCTTTCACTAAGATTTACTTTCTGGGTTGGAACTGTAGTATTACTATGCTATATTAGCATAATTTGCAAAGCAGGGATCTGAACATTAATAGAGAAACAAATTCTCATATTCTTAGGACATCTGCCATCTCTCAATTACAAAGGCTTAGTAAACTGTCAAAAACAAACTAGTTGTTCACAACATAGTTTATAATTTAATATACGTTGGGTTTTTTGTTTCATTTTGTTTTGTTTTTGTTTTTTTCATTTTTCTTCTGGTACCAGGAATCAAACTCACGACCTTGCGCTTGCCAGGTAGGCGCTTTGCCGCTGAGCTAAATCCCCAGCCCTATAATTTAATATAAATTAAAACTATCGCTGGGTACCCTGGTGCACACTGTAATCCTAGCTCCTCAGGAGGCTGAGGCTAAAGGTGCACAAGTCCAAGGCCAGCTGGATCAACTTATATAGACCCTGTCTTAAAAATAAACAAATAAATAAATAGGGTTGGGAATTTAACTAAGTGGTAGAGTGCCATGGGTTCATTCCTTAAGACTGCAGAAACTTAAAAAAAAAACAATTTTTAAATTTAAAATTACAGGCCAGGCATGGGGGTGTAATCCCAGCACTTGGGAGGCTGAGGCAGGAGGATCGTCGTGAGTTCAAGACCAGCCTAAGCTACAAAATGAGCTCAAGTCCAGCCTGAACTGCATAGCGAGACCCTGCCAAAAAGACAAAAAGAAAAAAAATAAAATTACAATATGCTCACATTTTTATTAAAATAAGTTGAGATAGCAACAGAGAAGGACATTAGGTGAAAATGGTTATTTCCCAGTAATGTAATCATGGATGATTTCTACTTTTTTTTTTCCTTTGGTACTGGAAATTGAACTCAGGACCTTGTGCTTGCCAAGCAAAGCGCTGTGCCACTGAGCTATATCCCTGGCCCTATTTTCTTCTTTGACTAAATGTTCTATAATGAATAGTTATTTCTTCTGGTAATCACATTTTTTAATGTAAATTTCAAAATAATACTGTAAAGTGAGCCACAATTTTCAGCGAGAAATTTGAATATTTTAAAACCTAGTGCTTCCAGATGATAGTACCACCAGATTAGATGCAAATAGTTTCTGTGTGTGTACTTTAGGAGGTATAGTGAGGAAAACACATATGAGACACTTACATGATTTATATGTAACACTTGTCCAGTATCTGGGAGTGGAAATTGGCAATCTTTAACAATAAAACTGAGAAGAGTTCTAATTTGTCCAAAAACCACATCACTAAAGAGAATTTATTTCTAAAGAGAATTTATTCTCCTTTAAGATGACCACTTTCAACTCAGCTCTTCCAGGATGTATGCACAACGTTTACCTAAATTTGGGCTGAAATAGTCACTTATTATCCACGGAAACACCGGGTACTGGGAGAGGTCGTTGCAGCTGCGGTCGGCCAGGTTGTTGAGGTGGAGCAGGTACTGGTAGTTGGAAATGTGGCCTCGCTGCCACTGCAGCGTGTAGCTCTCCGCGGTGTGCTCTGCAACATGGTGCTCTGCAGGAAGAGCCACGCCTGTCACTGCTGCACCCTGCAAGTGGGCACTAACCCTCACTTCGTATGCAAAAGCTAGGCGCTTACAACACACACCCTTCCTCGGGCTGTTGAAAAATGCATTTTAAGAGGAAGTAAATTTGGCTGTTGATCAGTTTTCACAAAGCAGTTGCTTAGCTAAGTATAAGTCTCTCTAAAATGCAGGAGGAGAAATTCTTCAATATACTGAACTATTATCCTACCCCAAGAATATGACATAATTTAAACAGATATAACAGCATGGAACAAAAATGTAAGTATTACATGGCAATAGATAATATTTATATAATGAATAACGAAGTCTTCCAAGTGTGCTGAGTTTTAATGTTTTTTTACAAACTATGGGCATTTGAGAATTTATTTCCTGCAGTTTTATAAAATCAGAACAAAGTAATATTTTAATTTTCTTTCAGGTCTGTGGAAACATGCTACTACTAATTTAATCAATGATTACTTGTTATTTATTCATGACTGAGAAAAGAAAAGAAACTTAAAAAAAAAGTACTTGGCAGGAGGACCAATTCTCAGGCTAGAGTCAGAGAGGCCACCTTCTCCCTGAAAAAACAGAATTGCAGACGACACGCACAAGTGAGAACTTCTCTTTTAGAGAGTGTAGAATGAACCAACACGCTTCCTAGAAGTAGATTTTTTTCTTTTCCAGAAAATTTTGCTTTAACTTTTTATTGGAATCATCAATCAACTTAACTCATATGCTGATTATTTATTCTTATTTAATCTTCAAGTGTCTTTTCTCATCAGCTAATAGGAAAGGCTCCAAAACTCAAAACACCTTCCTCTCTCACCTACTTCTCTTGAAACATCTCTGAAAAATCTCAGAAATAAACAAGGGGAACTGACAGCACGTGAGAGACAGTTTTAGGTCATGGCAAGGTTTTAACTTGAGAATTTAAGATTCAACATGAAAGCTGAGTCTTTTGTTGCATTCTTGTTAGACTCAAAAAATAAACTGGATTAAATCAGGAGCTAGGAGTTAAATGCAAACTTGTCACAAAGCTATACTTACAATTTAAATTGTTTAATGAATGAGAAAAATATTAACTATAAATCTAGTAAAATAAAATACATTCCTTATCTGAAGTAAACTATTTCTCCTTGAGGAAAATTTTCATTTCTAAGGGAAGATGTAAGTCACTACATATCATCTAAATCATTTCACTGTACACTACAAGAGCAAACAGATGGCATTAATAAAGGCCCAACATCCATTTATAAAATGCATTCCACTCGAGTTATAGCATCTCTATAAATGAGAAAATTCAACTTAGTAATGCAACGTAATAAAAAGTCCATGCTTGATAAGAAAAGTAAAGGTGCTCTACCTAAGATGGCAAAGTTTACATTTTCCACAAAAGATTATAGAATCATCAATAATGAAAAATGAATTATAGTCTGAGGGTGATATACTGAGCATAGAAGGCTCACAGGTTCCTTTTGCATGGCATTCTGCCTCTGTGATGAAGACCAAAATCGACAGTCACAGATGTATGACTGGGTAACTCACTGTCTCATGTGAATAAACTCAGTCTTGGCCTTCATGAACTAATGTAAGGCATAACTGAATAAAAGAACAAGTGAGCAGTTCTTTATGATCCACTCAAGTGTGGAGGTCATTAAAGTAGGAAAAACATTCAAATATCTTTCTGAAAAATTTTTGAGACACAATTTAAATTTAAATGAACTATTACCAAAATGAATTTATATTTCCTTTAGCTTTAAAATTCTGTTTTGGCAACTATAGTTACTGATGAGAAGAAATACGTAGAACAATGAAGAGGCAATTCTAGACAGAATATTTTTCTTCTCTTATTTGCTACTACAGCTCCCTATGAGTTGAACCACCATCATATGAACAGACATGGCAAAAGATGAGCAGCAAACCTAGGTATGTGGCAATATAGAAATAGATGTCGTCTCTATCTTGAGGTTCATAGAACTTTAGGTAGATGTCAGAACACAGGTCATCTTCTGTGCAAAATACTTCCAACCCCTATAATTCAGAACAAATAAAACAAACAGCATCATATTCATCTCGCATACCCAGTATATCACTACACAATGTTGCATTAAATATCTGTATTCTTGATTTTTAATATCTTATTCCTATTTTCCACGCATATTATGATTCAGAGACGCAAAAATATTTTTTCTTATGTGAGTATGTACATTGTGTTAATAAACTTTCTGAGAACAAGACACACATTTCAGGTAAACTATAAAATCCTCTTTGGTGTTAAATGTTTTCACTGATAATAGCTTTCATGAATGTATTATTTTGACACTCAAAATTAGTTGATTCATGCCTTTACATCTCTTTCAAATACAAATGTTTATCTTCTTTTATAAACTAAATAATTGTATATATCTAACAAGTTGATAATTGAATAACTCATTCAATTAGTAAGCTATGATTATTTTAAAGACAACTGTGAATTTTGTGAATACTGTGCTGAAAAGACTACTTTAGGACAGAAATCAACAAAGAAAGGATGAAAGTCGGGGCTGGGGATTTAGCTCAGCGGCAAAAGCGCCTGCCTGGCAAGCGCAAGGTCGTGAGTTCGGTTCCCGGTACCGGAGAAAAA